GGAAAAAATAAATAAATAAAATTATAAAAAAAAAAAAAAAGAAGAAGAGATATGAGGATGGAAGCAGAGGTCAGAGTGATGCAATGAAAAAAAAAAAAAAAGAAATACAAATTCTGGGCTGTACTTCAGACCTACGGAATTCGAGGTAGGGCCCAGAAATCTTGTGTTTTAACAAGGCTTTCAAATGATTCTATTGCATGCTAAAGTTTGATAAGCACTGAAATAGTTCATCAACAGTTTTCCTAAGAATATTTAGGTTTAAAACCTTTTCTACAAAGAAGCTAAAACTTCTTTTTCCTTTTAAAGTACAAGCCCATTGAATTTGATAAGTATGGAATTTCCCTAGTTATTTAAAAATATGTTTTATTTGGTGGGTAGCATGTAAAGATTCCATGAGTTTATGAACAATGTGTTTTGAATCCTAACTTTTTTCCAGAGACATCCTACCATTGTTTCACGTTGAGGATTTCCATTGGAGTTAGGCGAAGTTCAGAGAATAGGTCAATAGCAGGATGCAGTCTCAGATTACAGAGGCAGAGATGACCTCGCCCCTCCCATGCCCGAGTTCATCCAGGAGTCACGCTTCATTGTATGGTGACTTCCTCATCCAAAGTCACGAGGCTGCCTACAATCCTATGTCGTCCACTTATCACAAAGTCGAAGTTTGAGTAATTTTTCACCATTCTTTGAAGAGACTACTGCCACCTAGGAAGATTACTCTACCTTTTTATTTTCAATTTTATCTAATAGACAATATTTAAGTTATCAATTTTTTTCTAATAGACTAAGTCAAGTTATCTAATAGTCTATTTATCTAATAGACTAAATTTAAGATTAGCTAATACAATCTTATCTGAGACATATGGCTTCAATTTAATTGGCACTCAATGTCATTTGGAGTTGACTTTATGACAGCTAATCAATACATTTAATGGGATACTTCATGATGCCATCATTTCCTTGAAAGTAAATGTTCTAGAAATAGAGCAGTGTCTAATATGATTAAAGCAAACACTTTTAAACTACAATGATTCAAGATGTGTAAATATGCATTGCTTTGCTTTTATTATTCTTATAAATTTAATTCTTCCAGTGTTGTCCATTTTAGCCAACACACTCAACATTTTTAACTTTCCTTCAGAATCCCCATGTAGTTTGAGGTAGTGACTGATGGTTTATTTACCCAGCAACCCTTGGGAAATATTACAATCAGTATTGCCTGAAATAAATAATAGGTGTAACTAACTACAGAACTTAAGTTTTCCTGATGGTATCAAGACAGTTTCTCAAATTTTAATGTGTGTGTTAATCATTTGAAGATTAAAAATATAGATTCTAAGGGGCTGGTCCAGTGGTACAGTGGTTAAGTGCACGCACTCTGCTTCAGCGGCTCGGGGTTCGCAGGTTCGGATCCCGGGCGCGCACCAATGCACCGCTTGTCAGGCCATGCTGTGGCAGCGTCCCATATAAAGTAGAGGAAGATGGGCACGGATGTTAGCCCAGGGCCAATCTTCCTCAGCAAAAAAAGGAGGATTGGCATCGGATGTTAGCTCAGGGCTAATCTTCCTCACACACACACAAAAAAAATATATATATATAGATTCTAATTCAGTAGGTCTGGAGTGAAGCTAGAGTGTCTGCATTTCTAACAAACAAACAAGCTAATACTTCCAATCCACAAACCACACTTTTGAGAGGCAAGTCTCTAGAAGGCATCATATTGGGGAAGAAAGAAAACCAAATGCAAAATAACTTACAGGTAGCTAGTCTGTCCTACTCACCTTCTTTATTTGAAAATAAACAGTTAGTTAAAAAACATTCATGCCCAGACAGAACAGTGCCACTGATTTTACTCTTACAAATTGTTGCGATTTCTTTATTTTTTGGTGTGCTTCAATTCATATTTATTAACTATCTAACTTTTAAGAATTTTTGGAGTCATGTATTTTGACAGTAACATAGTCTTATATTTCTGGCCACTGTAAAATGAAGAGGGTCTTACTTTTCACTTCTATGATAACATGGAAACAAAGGTGAGTATAGGATGAATAGAGATGGAAGTCATTTTCAAGCTTGTAAGAGTAAATAGCAGACATATCCTTTGCTCTTGATTATTTACTGACCCTGTGAGAACTGGCAGAGCAGTCACTTGCTCTGAAGTGCAAGCTTTTTCCCTTCATAAACGTTGTGTGCTTTCTCCAGAGCAACCCACACTTGAGTGATGATCACAAAGCTATGCTTATACAGAAAATTATTTCCAGCACACGTCTTGGCTAGTTTCACTTGGGCTCCAAGTATTTCCCATTTCCCCGCAGTTATAGCAGAAGCCTCTCTGTCTTCTTACCTCCACTGACTTCTCCCGCTTCGCCCCGCCCCTCACCTTTCGGTTCCTCCTGAGGATCCTGATGGAACAAGGAGCAGCCAACGTTGAGCTGTGCTCTTCTTTCTCCGCAGTTACTGAGAAAACCACCTGGTCAGATGACTGCCTGTTTGCCAGGCAGAGACAGCTGCTCGCGGGGTCTGCCACAGCCATGTCGCAGCCTGCTGGGAAATATGCCACAGGCAGGAGTTTGGCGTGGGCTCAGTTTGGACCTCAGGCCTCACCGACAGCTCATCTTCGCCGTGTTTGGCTGGCATCGTGAGCCGGTGCTGCACCACCTCAAAGGGAATGCCGTTGTTCTCTTGCGATGTCTCTTCAACACACACACACGAACACAAACACATGCACACGCATACACACTTAGTTCACTTTCCATACACTCTCCTTGGAATAAAAAGGAAAGTTTTGTAAGGAAATTGGCTGTGTGCCACCTTGCCATAGGCTATACTTTAGGTGCTTTGGATAAAGCGTGTGAAGGAACATATGGGCCTCGTGAAAGAAACACCTGCTTGTTCAAAGTGAAAAATAAAAAATAAAAGTTGCCCCACTGTTAATTTGGAACCCCTAGAAGCAAAGCTGACTGTGATTAAATGAAGGAGGCAGCTTGAGGCTCTTTTCTGCCCATATCCTTCCAGCTGAGGCATCTCGATTCCCTTGATTTTTAAACAGATATCATTAGAGTCATGCTCTGTATTTAGATTCCGGGAGCAGATTTAAGAATTCCTCATACTAGGCAAGTTCCAAAATTGGATCACCGCCCCCCCCTTTCCTCAACAAGGATTTTTTTTAAAAAGTCAAGATTTAGATTTACACCAATAAGGTCAAGATTTTCAATAGGATCCTTGCACCTGGTCCCAAAATTCCGGGACATTTTGAAAGAGAATTAACAACCGAAAGCAACTGGTCATTGCTTTCAAAAGTGCAAGTCTAATACCCAGAACTGATTTGGTAGAAGGAAAATCTATAATACAATTTTCTAAAAAAAATTTACTTGTGCACTTGAAAATGATCTAAAAATATGTCATGAAGACCCTAAGTTGCTTTCCATCAAAATTAGAATTTAAGATCACAAGAGGAAATATTAAGTCATTTTTATCTCTATATTCCAAAGTAGCAAATAAAGGCTATGGTCTTTCACTTATACTTGATAATAGTAAAACATATAGGAAGATCCACTGCCACATGATTGATCAAGTAAGGGTTCTCAGAGGCTAGTGAAACTTATTATGTGTCTACCAAATGGGTTACCACAGACACACACAAAGGCGCACACACACACTATATATATACACACATACACACATATATTATACCTATACATGTATATACACATATACATCTGTATACACATATACATCCAAGGAGCTTCTAATCTGATTAATCTTGGGGTCTATAGTTTACCATTCCTTTATGGTATGTATGAGACCACCCCGAAGGACTAGGACCTCTTGCTCCCCATTGCTCTCTTTTTCATGACTTTCCTTGTATCAAAAGTATTTTCTTGTCAAATCAGAGAGGTGTTTTTTCCCAAGCCTACTGAGACGAAGGTTAAGCATCTGTGTTTAGTCTTCAATCTCCTGTAATTATCTGTTAGCCATTGTATAACCCAAAAAATTAGCCTCTAATTAATCTAGTACAAAAATAAGAAGATTATGACAGAAATTATAGAAAGATTTCCATGGAAATATTAAGGTAGTATCAGGAATGGAGTTCTTATGGTTTAGAAAATTAGAATTTAACATGAAATCATCATAATAAAAATAATAATAGATTTTCACTGAGCTAGGCAGTTGACATGAATTTTCTCATATATTTCTCCAAAAAATTTTATGAGGAAATTTTTACTATTATCTGTATTTTACGTAAGACTCAGGAAGACTAAATATCTATCTGAAGATCATAAGTTAGCAAAAGGTAGAGCAAGGACTCAAAGCCAGGTCTATCTAATTATATTGCCTGTTTTACTATCTCCCAGCTCCCATCTTGCACATTTTTATATATGTATCCCTTATGGTTGATTCCATATTTTCTTTTTGTTATACAAAAAATGCCTGTTAGTTTTAGAAAAATCTTAAAATAAAAGAACCTGAGAATGGAGATAACTGGGTAGGTCTGAGATAAGTCAACAAAATTTAGGTAAATATTTATGTCTTCATGATATTGGAACAGAGTGTTAGGATGTAGAGAGAGGGAATGCTTTAGAAACACTTGACCTTAACAAATCTGAAGATTAAAAATGATCATTTTTAAAGTAATAAGCAATTTTATTCTCTTAGGGTGGAGTCTAGAGTTTAGTTTTCTTTTGGAAAAATTACTTAAATGGACATTTAGTGGAACATATTTAAGGGCAAGTTCTCTGTGTTCTTGGGGAAGCCGTGGGTTCTGCAAATTTGCCCCAAGCAGATGATTTAGGCTGAGATAGTAAGCATTCTACTCGGTGAATATTTCTCTAAGAGTTAGAAGAGTTTTTCTATTCTTAATCTCTCAGTGCCCCATGAAGGCCTAAAGGCCGTGGTCCATTCTTGGTTGCTAGGTATAAGTACAATGAAACATTTGATGAGAAGAGCTTGGGAGGGGACACCTGATTCACATCTTAACTTCTCTTCATGTTACATTAGAGAAAAGACAGTGACAGGAATTAGACTAGATTTGGTGCTGCACAACTCGAGTGAGACTGTTGGTGTTTATTCCAGATGGAACAACTGGTTCTGGAGGCAACATATTGCTTGCAGTGTTCATGTTGGTAGAAGTGAGTTACCCTCTGCCACATGGGAGCATTCCAGGAGCTGGTCAAGGAGCTAACCTAGTAAGGAATTATGATGTTGGTTTAGACTCTAAGAGTAGCCACATCTAATAGCAGTTTTAAGTGACTGTCTACAAAATTTCCTTTGTCTTCAAGGCTTCAGTAAAGTCATTTGCCCTGTGAAGAATTACAGAGGGACCACCTCAGAACGTGATGTGGTGTTCCCTCAGACTGGTGTGTATATGTATGGGGCAGGCGGGCTAGTGGGGTGTGAAAACCGTCAGACTGCAGCATGGCTCAGCAAAGCAACAAAATTGCAAGTGTCAACCATGGCTGCGGTGGCCAAGGTGAATAAAGGAAGAATGAGAAACACCTGATCCCAAACATGAATGAGATGACACCATGGGGATTCGGAGAAACACTTTGGGGACACTTTGGGGGGGCAATTTCCAGCAGTCAGGCTGGACTATATTAAAAAATGAAAAATTATTTGTTAATCATAGACTGTGAGACCTAGGATTTATGTGTTATAAAAGGATGATGAAAACAGGTTCAGAAATAGCCTCATCTTTAACAAAGACTTCTGCTGCTGTAGTGGCAAGCCTAGAGTAGCCTGCCCCTGACTTCTCCCGGGCCCAGTAACTGACCAGTCCACTCAGGGGTCAATGTGTTCAAGGCTGTATAGAGAACAAATTACTTAATAGGCTAAAACACAAACACACTTCCAAATGAAGACCTATCCTATCTCGTATATCCATGTAGTCACCTGCCCACTGCTACCTTCTGTGGGATGGGGGGACTCCTTCAAAGAAACCAATGTTCCAAATGCAAACCTGCTCCCTTCATTCCATGCCCCTTCCCCAGGACTCCTCCTCCACAGAGAATCATGTAAAACATTCACTACATTCAACATGTTGGAGCATAAGGAACTTTTATCACAGTGTGAGAAATCTGGCTACAGATTTCATATGATATATGTTGATATCTTACTTATACGGCTCCTCTTTGTACTAGGTGCTATGTTAGGGAATTAGGAGACCACAGCGTTTGCTTTCATGTTGCTTATGGGCTATTTCTGAAAGGATTTAAGAAGACAGATATGAGTGACTGTAACACAAAATATGGCAATTTGGGATCACAGTATAATAGAGACCATATAAAGATTGAAGGAAATTGACGGTACTGATTTCCTGAGGGAAAGTGCTTTCTATCCAGACTTTGAATTTCTTTCTAAGAGTTCTGAACATATAAAAGGGATCGGGGAGAGCAAATGCATGGCATATGCACTGTGGATATTTTCTTTTTAATCTAGGCTAAATTCAAATGGAAATTTTTCCTATAGGTCTTTGTGTAAGAGAACTTGAAAATCAAAGTGGGTGTTATTTTCAAATACGATTTTGTAAAATACAAAAAATTGGAGCAAATAATTTTTTTGTTGCCCCTCTTTTCTTTTATGACTTCACGAAAGGATACAGAGCTGTGACTTAAGGATCTCAAAGTATATGCCTCAGAGCAATTATGATCTCAGAACAGTTAAATAGCCTGTTGGATAATGTCTCTCAAATAAGCTATTTTAAATGGACATTGGTGGATGTCCTACCTATCTATCTATCATCTATCTATCTGTCTATCTATCTATCTGTCTATCTATCTATCTATCTATCTATCTATCTATCTATCTATCATCTATGTGCCTGATGTACCTGGAGTAAGAAAGGTAAAGCTGTCATCAACTGTGAAGACTTGGAGAATGGACTTATTTGTTCAGAATGGTTCCTACCATTCATCATGGGTCTTGCCCACTAGAGTAACATGTATATAGAACTCATATTTGTCTCAGAAGAAAAGATCTTTGGACTTGTCCTGGCAATTGCATAATTGTTATTTGAACCTCAAAATTCTGTTATGAATGCAACTGAAAAAATACACCGGGCTCATGATAATGGTTGATTGTTTTAGCTATTAACAAATAAACAAATACATATACAAAACTAGAGTACCAAACCAAAATCTCAGTTTGGCCCCTGTGGAACATTTAATCCCACAGAAAGATGAGCCTGTCTTCTCTCTAGATCTGCCAGCATGAATAAATTTCAAAATACTCCACTGACCCTGCCCAAGTAGCTGAAAAAGACTGATCCACTGATGAGGCTTTAAACCTTGTGAATGCCTACAAAATAAAATAATAGTTTTGTGGTAGCTGATTCAGAGAAATGTCCTCAGAAAAGAACCCTGTGGTTCTA